CGGGGTTTCACCATGTTGACCAGGATGGTCTCGATCTCTTGACCTCGTGATCCACCTGCCTCGGCCTCCCAAAGTGCTGGGATTACAGGCTTGAGCCACCGCGCCCGGCCCCAATTTTATCTTTTCATATATAGCTATACAGTAATTCCAACTGATTTAAAATTTAGATCAGTAGTCAACGGTTGTAAAAGACCCATCTTTTCCTTGGCATCTTTTTATTACTAATTTTTTTCTTTTTTTTGAAACAGAGTCTTGCAATGTTGCCCAGAGTGGAGTGCAGTGGTGCAGTCAGGCTCACTGCAATCTCCACTTCAAGTTCAAGCACTTCTCCCTCCTCAGCCTCTCAAGTCGCTGGGATTGCAGGCACACATCACACCTGACTAATTTTTATATTTTTTGTAGAGATGGGGTTTCACCATGTTGCCCAGGCTGGTCTCAAACGCCTGGGCTCACGTGATCTGCTCGCCTTGACCTCCCAATGTGCTGGGATTACAGGCCTGAGCCGCCGAGCCTGCCCTTTGTCTTACGGATTTCTATACTCAGTGTTCTATTTCGGATTTTCATTTTTTAAATTTTTTTAGAGAGATGAAGGCTCGTATTGCCCAGGATGGTCTCAAGCTCCTGGGCCCAAGCAGTCCTCTTGATTCAGGAGTGCAGTGGCACTATCTTGGTTCACTGTACCTCTGCCTCCCAGGTTCAAGATGTTCTTCTGTCTCAACCTCCTGAGTAGCTGGGATTACAGGCCCCTGCCACTACACCTGGCTAGTTTTGTGTGCGCGTGTGTGTGTGTGTGTGTGTGTGTGTGTGTGTGTTTAATAGAGATGGGGTTTTCACCATGTTGACCAGGCTTGTCTTAAACTCTTGACTGCAAGTGATCCTCCCAACTTGGCCTCCCAAAGTGCTGGGATTACAGACATGAGGCACCGGACCTGGCCACAAACTTTATTTGAGAGACATTATAACAAATACGTTGTAAGTAGGAAAAGAAGACCACACAGATTCTGCTCTGAAGTTTTTTTTTTTCATCTAATTAGCAAATATACTGAGAAAGTGAAAAACAAAACCATTGTTAAATAAGTGAGAGACTGTAACTCCTGTAAATAATTTGGGAAGTAAATGAAAGAAATCAATGATTTCATGAGGGCCAGTCTTGGTGGTTGACGCCTGTAATCTTAGTGCTTTGGGAGGCCGAGGTGAGCAGATCACTTGAGGCCAGGAGTTTGAGAGCAGCCTGGCCAACATGGCGAAACTCTGTTTCTACAAAAAATGCAAAAAATTAGCTGGGCATGGTGACACATGCCTGTAATCCCACCTACTCAGGAGGCTGAGGCACAAGAACACTTGAATCCAGGGGGCAGAAGTTGTAATGAGCTGAGATCACGCCACAGCACTCCAGCTTGGGCAACAGAGTGAGAGTTTGTCTCAGAAAAAAAAAAGAAAGAAAAATGACTGTGAAATTGTGGATTGGACAACTTTGCTGGCTGAGGATTCAAGCAAGGTTTTGGGATATAAGTAAACTGGGATAGGTAGAAAGAGAAACAGTCTTCTAAGAGTCCAAGGGAGAGGGGTACAACAGACAAAGGCCAGGAGACAGAAAACCACTCATTGAGATTTAGGTCTGTGATGTGACCCGCTGGACCTCTAAGATTCTATTAAGAAGAGTATTGCTAGGGTAGTGGAAAGGTGCTAATACTAGCTGACATATTTGAGAGCCTTCTCTGTGGCAGTCATTGTGCTAAACACTGTACGTATTTTTATCTAAATTAACCTTCACAAAGCTAATGTAGATGATCTATTACTATTTGAAAATGAAGAAAATTACTTTTGAATAAAGTAAGCTACTTTCTCAAGGTTAGACTTCGAGTAAAGAGTCAAAGCCTGGATTCAAACCACTTAGAAGTCTGTACTGTTAACTGTGTGCAGCCTACTAAATTACCGTTAAGTTGTTGAAAGTCTTAAATGCCAACATGATTAGACTTTATTCTTCTTCTGTAATGTATACAATAATCATCTAAAGACCTTTACCAGGAAATCTTTTTTTTTTTCAAGACGGAGTCTCACTCCGTCCCCAGGCTGAAGTGCAGTCATGTGATCTCTGCTCACTGCAACCTCTGCCTCCCGGGTTCAAGTGATTCTCCTGCCTCAGCCTCCGAGTAGCTGGGACTACAGGCGTGTGCCACCATGCCCAGTTAATTTTTGTATTTTTAGTAGAGATGGGGTTTCACCATGTTGACCAGGATGGTCTCAATCTGTTGACTTCGTGATCTGCCCACCTTGGCCTCCCAAAGTGCTGGGATTACAGGTGTGAGCCACTGTGCTTGGCTGGAAATCTTTCAGCTTACTTCCTAAAAATCTGCTTAAAGTTGCCAGCAAAGTTTGGGGTCACTGAACACTGAACTGTGCTCAGTGAATTAGAAGGCCAAAAAAAAATGTAGAGTCAGTAATGTTGGCGATTATAGAATTTCAGTGCTAAAAGCAAAAGGCAGTTTTTCAGAAGACTGGAATAGGTGACTTTCCTTTCACACTAGGCAACACTGGACTATGGAATGTATTCTCGAGAAGAAGAACTATTAAGAGAAAGAAAACGCATTGGAACAGTTGGAATTGCTTCTTACGATTATCACCAAGGAAGTGGAACATTTCTCTTTCAAGCTGGCAGTGGCATTTATCACGTAAAAGATGGAGGGCCACAAGGATTTACGGTAAGCTGCAGTTGCTGATGGTTAAATCTGGTTTGGGTCCAAAAGGTTATTTGCACGCAAATCAGAAAGGCAATTAATACTAAAGGCAATTAATACTAATTGGAGTTGCTAATGGTTAAACCTGGTTTGGGCCCAAAAGGTTATTTGGACCCAAATCAGAAAGGCAATTACCAGAAACTTGTGTTTACCCACCAACAAGGAAATGTAATAGCAACGAAAACAAGAAACATGGAAATTAGTTTCCAGTTTTAAGAGCTAATTTTTTACCAGCTTGGGCTGGTAACATAGGGAGACCCTGTCTCTACAAAAATAAAATTAGCTGGCCATGGTAGTGCACACCTTTAATCCCAGCTACTCAGGAGTCTGAGGTGGGAGGATTGCATGAGCCTGGGGGTCAAGCTGCAGTGGGCTGTGATTGTGCTACTGCACTGCAGCCTGGGTTACAGACCAAGACCCTGTCTCAAAACAAAAGAGTTAATAATCTTTCTAGTTACATTATATACCATTTTTAGGCCAGACGCGGTGGTTCATGCCTAAAATCGCAGCAGTTTGAGAGGCTGATGTGGGCAGATCATTTGAGTCCAGGAGTTCCAGACAACCTGGGAGACATGGTGAAATCCCATCTCTACAAGAAAAGGCAAAAATTAGCTAGGCACAGTGGTATGCACCTGTAGCCCCAGCTACTCGGGAAGCTGAGGTGGGAGGATCACTTGAGCATGGGAGATAGAGGTTG